CTAGGAGTACAGACTTATAAACATGGATATCTAAATTTTATAAATGGGAGCTCTCATTACTTTTCTGTATCAAAATCGAAACTATCAAATATTTTACATATATTTATATTAACAACAGATACTCTTTTGCACAATTCAAAAATAATAAAATTGACATACATATAATTCACTCAGTTATAAACACACTATAAGGAATAAATTAGTTAAAAAGGTTTTAATCGTTGAGACTTAATGATTCAATGGCTAATGATAGCTATGTTAACAAAAGGAAATTCAAAATTGTAAAAGTTTAAAGTACAAAATATATGCAATGAAAAATAAATATGAAAGGTATAAATACTCATCAGGAAATAAAATATTATACCTTTCTAAATTGTGTAGGTAGGGCACACACAAAATATTTAACAGGTATATGCAATGAGCAAATTAAGACAACATACATACCCGAAGTCAATGTGATTAAATATTTTTTTAAAAAGAGTAACAGGGTAGGTATAAAAGTTCATTTAGATACTTTTTAACTTTTCAAATGTTCAAATTTAATACAATAAAACTATGATTTAATATAAAACAATCAAGAAGAAATTAAAATTAAGGAAACTTATTAACCGAAAAAACAAATCTCTTATATTTCTTACTGAGAAGTATTTTAAGTCTTACATAGATTAACAGCAATGAAAACCAAATGCACTCTTAAAGATGAACAATGAGCTAAAAATCTAAAATTTAAAAATATTTTGTTTAAGGTAATGAAGACAGTGGGTTACATAAATATTTATACAACAATTCAGAAATCCGGGGAATTTTTAATAACTTACACCATGCATAATGCATTTTAAGAGAAATTAAAAGACACAAATTTCTAGTTTTTTAATATTAGGAAATTCATAAATTAAGAAAGTGTGTTTCAGCTTGAAACATTATCTGCCAGTTTAAAAAATGGATGCAAAAAAAAAAAAAAAAAAAAAAAAAATCATATAAGTACAAAACTTCTATGCTTTGGATATGATCCTGAAAGAGATAAAAATTTGGAATTATATTTTTATAAATTCTGTATTAGGTCTATGCTTAATAAAATTTACCCTGCAAGCTGTATAAGAGCTTTTATGTAATAGGCACCAACTGTGACAATGCAGTCTTCACATAAAAGGACATTACTACATCTATATGTATAAAAAAGCATAATAAGTACATAACATCAGCTCTTCAGAGCAAATTACAACATTAATTGTAAAAATCATATTGCAATATAACAAAGACTTGGCAAGAAACAATTCACCACAAACCAGACATAATCTTTCAAAAATTTTTTCTCAGGTTCCACAAATATATATTTTGGATTAAAAAACTGCCTCATTCTCTCATTGTGCTCAATCAAATCAACAAATTAAATTACGATTCATAAAGATGTTTACGGACAAATTTGAAACTTTGATGTATTGTTGTTCAAAGAATATCATCCCTTGTGCTTTCTGTGTTGATCCACCTATGCAGATCATTCGTGATATAATTAATAAGAGGTAGAAAGATATTTAATATTGAAAGGAACTGAAAAAAAACATTTAATATTTAACAGCATACAAACCTTAAAATTCTAATAAATAAATAGTTGAAATTTGTATTACTTTTAACTTAATAACTTAATAACTATGTCTCAAATAAGTCTTTTAATGTAAAGGAATCTTTGTAACATTACATTTTTTAAAACTATAATTTAAAGACTAGAAATTTTTTTCCTTTACATGAAATTCATGCAACATGAAATGATACTCAAGGCACATTTGAACTTTTTAATAATATACTACTTTAGACTTAAAATTATTCACAAATAATACTAATTTTTTTTTTACAATTGATTAAAATAAAAATTAAATATCTTCATTTCCCTCTTAACAGAACCGGGTAAGTGTTTCTTAGTTTTCATAAAAAATTCTTTTAGTAAAATAGATATGTACAGATTAAATCTTATTAAAAATGAGTATAAACACTATGGGCAGCACATCTGTCAAACAGTACACAACACTGAAATATTAAAACAAACAAATATTCAAGACGTCAACAAGTTAGGCAAATATGTTGTTACAGGACAGTTTCAACAAGTGTAAGTCACAATAACTTTGCATTTTTAATTAAGACATGCATGTTATGTGCTCATTTTTACATGTTTATAGCAATATACAAAATGTTTGTATTGCATTGTGATGCAAGATTTGATACATTGTGCTAAATGGTACAAACATGTTTACTAAAATTAATTTAATAATTTTAACAATCCAAAATCACAAGAATTGTAGTTGAAAACCAATAATATTTATATTAATCAAATAAAAATTTATTGATTTTAGCTTATACCTTTAATATTCCTCAGAATGCTGAGAAATAATATATACTTTATAGTATACTTAGGAGAAATCGTTTTGCATTAAATTAATGAATGAAGAAAAAAATTAAAACATAAAAAGGTCTAAAATTATAAGAAATAGTAAACTTTGATATCTCAAAAATACTATAATTTTGTTTGGAAACTCATGTTAAATATTGCTTAAAAAAATTATAATTATACTTCAATTCTAAAATGTCATTAGTTCTAAAACATATGTCTTAACTCCAACACAAAGATCAGATGGAGGAAATGAATTTGACTTGGAGCAAATAAAGTAATTGAAATAAAACGATAAAATACATCTATCAGTTATTTTTAACAATTAATTTTGATTTTCATTTATATACAACAGTTGCACGTATATTAAAATTATAATTAATAATGGTGAAAAATCTCAGATTCTAAAACACATCTCAAATTTAGTGACATTTATATACTTTGCTTCCCAGAATTGAAAAAATATGATGATAGGAAAATATTTTTCTTGAATTTTTCAAGTTATCATAAAATCTATGGTATGCTCTTACATTTTCACTCATATACAGACAGCATATTACAGATTCATACACATTTCAACATATACAGACTGTTGTTTGACTGTTGTTCAACATATACAGACTGTTGTTGTTTGTTGTTTGACTTCTGAATTATATACAGACTCTATTTTATAAAATTCAGTTCAAAACATTCTTCACACTAGACACTCAGTCAAATCTTATTCTGCCATTCTATGTAGATGCTTTTATCAACTGTACATTTCTCATTTATTGCATCTTCAAATGTCTGTGGCTTGGCGCATTTTATGTACCATTTTATTTTGTCAGGAAGGAAAACTATTTTTTTATTTTATCAGGAAGAAATTCTAATTCATGACATTGAAAACGTTCAATGAAGTTAAGTCTTATTTCTTTGATTTGATATAAGCTGTTATAATAACAGTAATTTTCTAACTTTTTGAAGAAGACCTGGTAAATTCTCATGTAATGAATGCAACATTTACTGTTGATGCATGTCTCTTACATTTATAAAAAGATTAACTATTTAAATGAAGTTTCATTAAAATTAATTTTAAAAAAAGCAATTTTCACATTAAAATATAAACACTTGAGTCTATACCTATGAATAACAGCTTTTGATTTTGTGGAATAATTTTAAATCTTAAAATATAGTGAAACCTCTCATGACATTAAACTGCCACAGATGATCGTCTTTGAAACTGATCACTGTTCTTCAAAACCTAAATGAATATCTAGATATGCCTACAATTATGCTCTCAAAGACAATCCTCAGACAACTAAAATTATGCAACAACATCTTAGGAAGATTTCACTGCACTCAAATTCAATTATTTCTTTCCTAGTATATCAAAATCAATAGCTGGTGCACTGCATAATTTCATTCATCAGATCAAATTGTAATTAATATAATTAATTGTAAGTTAATTAATGGAGCAGCCTTATTAAGAGAATTATTAATAGTAAATTAATACTAAGATCTTGCAACAGATTTGTGTATTTTATGCAGTGTCATGTTCAGTTCCCTCTGAACTAATTCTGAAAGTCTGAAATGATGATGATTAATTAGTTATTATAACTAATTTAGATTTTCCTCTCTCTGTTTCATAAATAAAATTAATTAATTGAAAAAGTACAGAAAATATGCCTTTTTTGACACAGATATGTTTTATAAAATTGAGATATGTTTAATAAAAAAGACAGAAATGTCTTGAGATTTTTTGAGGTTAACAATAATAACAACTTAATAATCATTCATGAAGATAACAATGAAGAAATTATTCCATATATGAAAGAACAACAATTTAAAAGTTAAAGGATGATAAAAGTGATTTAAAATCATTTTAGATCAAAAGGAATTACATAGTGATTTTAAATCAACTATAACAATTAGCAATACTTGCAAATGCCAAGAATGCTTCCCCTCCCAGACGTCAAATGTGTTTTTAAATGCTGTACTGAAGCTAGTAAAATATGATATAGAATGGATGATAATAATGACTATTATGAAAAAAAATTAATCCTCGGACAACTAGCTAACAGCTAATACTAGCTACTGGTTACTTTGTTCAGAAATTAAATATATAGATTTATTTATTAATAATAGGGCAAACTCATTGTTCAGACTATCTAATTCATTTTTTTAAATATTTTTACTATTATAAAACATTCTGCATAAAGCAACATTTTAGGTATACAAAAAAACTATGGTTCCAATAAAAAAGCAAATTATTTTCTCATTTTTTAATAACCTGAATTATGGAAACTTCATTCATTTTATTGAGTCCGATGAAATTTGAGATATCAAAATTTTACCACATGTTAGAATTCCAGTTATCTAAAATTCTAGTTATTTGAGTCACTTATTTTTCTTTCTAGTGAAGCAAAATTCAGCTTGATATTTAATGACATTTTAATGTTTTCATTAAATTTAAAATAAAACAAAATTATATTTCATTATTACTTTACATAATTTTTCATAACTGTAAAACATCATTTTATATGACATAAGAAATGTTGTTTTAAATTTATTTTAGTTATAAAGAAACAGGTTGTACATTTCGCTTTATAATAAAAAAATGATTCCTTTGACTAACGGTATAAAAAATAAATATAAAATTATGTGTTTATTTTTAGGTCTATGCAAAGAAGAAATTCCTTTCGTTGCTTTATTTTAGATTGGAGAAACATAGGCTTACATGTTGAGACAAATAAATAAAAATATTTTATTACTTAACCAAAAAAAAAAAAAATGCATTTTGTTTTATGGAAATAAAAATATTTTTTTTTCTCTTCTGCTATGTATTTTGCTGAAATAAAATATGATAAACAAAAGTAAATAAATAAATGAAATTCCTTTAATTGCATTACATTAAATATATGTTTAAAACAAACATAATAATTCAAATTTTCTCATTATCCAGATAAGATTTTAGTCCCATTTAGTTCAGATAACTGGAGTTCTATTGTATCTCTGTATGTTATTTAGTTATAATAATCATAATTGAAATTTACCTTTTTTATCAAAAATCAAGAATTGTTTTGCATATGTGACTCACACTAGTCAAAGTACTAGAAAAGATACATGGATATATTGCAAAATAAAAGAACATTACATATTTTTCAAGGTTGTTCCGTAAAAAAATGAGGCACGTGTGCCTAATAGATAGACTAATTTATAAAAAATTGAGACTAAATTATGCTATATACTAATCTTTCCGCTGAGCCCATTTTAAATCATCAGTCCTAGGTTTGCACCTAAATAGAGATTCAATCAACCATTCTAGAAATGGCCAGAAACATAGTTTCTCAAGTGGATAATTTAGCCAGCCAGTTGTGATACAGAAATATGTTTCATGTGGAGCTACATGATGTATACGATGATGTCGTCGGGGTAGAATGATATGAAAATCTTGAAGAAGTGTAACCCATTTAGGTATGCCAAAATATGTATGAGACCACTTATGAATCTGTAAAGAGAAAATACAGATATAAATTTACATGAAACATTCAGTAAGCTAAGTATCAAAGTATTCAAAAATTATAAATCTCATAATTTAATGTATGTTAATAAAAAACACTTACAAATCATTAAAGCACACAATAATTAAATTATATAAGAAATAATGAGATGACTCAATATTTCCTTTTCATCCAGTTATTATAAAATGCAGTAAATGACACTAATATTATTTTGCTTTAGAGAAAATAAAGAAGCTCAGAATAATATTGAATGCAAGTGCTCCTTTAATTAACCCATTAATGACTGATGTGTTTTCACAACATTATTCAAAACATTTTTTCGTCTTCTGTACAGTATATTTTTGTTTTTACTTTGTTTTGTATATTGTAAATAAAAATTCATTGTTTCCGGACAAAAAAGGCTGTTTCTCTCATGTTAAAAATTTGTATAAAAATAAATGATTGTTTTAGTGGTTTCTTTTTTTTTTTTTTTTTTTTTTTTTTTTTTTTTATTTGAGTAGATCTTAAAGAAAGCAAAACCAATTGCATAATTTTATGAAGACATGGCAATCTTCTAGAAACATTAAACTGCATATTGGCATCATAAGGTAAGGTTACTATTTAATTTTTATTAGTATAAATATCACTTTTTTAAATGTTGCAATAATGCAATATCAGTTCAAAGCAGTGTCTTTGTGAGGATATAGTGATTTTTACAGATAGTGGTACAGTCAAAAGTCGTTAATCCGGACTCCTCGGGACTTCGCCGATTCCGGATTATAGATCATCAGTTTAAATCTCATAAGATGTCATGCAGAAATTCTAAAATTAAAAATATGAAACCATAATTTATGAAATAAAGAACAATTATGATCTAAAGGGTATCAAAATTTACAAAAAAAAAAAAAAAAGCTTAATATTTATTTGTTTACTTTATTAAACATTTCTTTCAATGTAAGTTGTTTAAGTTGCTTCGTTTTATGTGATAATACTTTCTCTTTAATTCTATAAACAGAAATAATTTCTTGTTCAGTTACAAAGTTCTGCTGTTCAAGTCCCGTTAATTGCTGTGTCGAGAATACCGACTAACTTGTCGGTAAATTTTTTCGTTTTCACTAACCTCTCTGTCACATTCTTCATGTCTTTATCCATTTTTTGCAGCAATTCCACTTTTTGTTTGTTGGACATCGAAACATACTTTCGTTTTGTAGATCCTTTGGAAGTTTCAGCATCGGAAATTCTATTTGACATAATCGAAAGTTCAAATTACTTTTATAAAATTCCTCTTACAGTCTGCAAAAAATAATAAGTGGATTCAATTCGAAGATTAAGGAACAACGCAATCATTAACATTAACTGAAATAGATAATTAGATAATTTTAGCTTACACCGTCTGTTATACATTAAACGCGCAGGCAAAAACGTATTCTGCACTTGTGCACACGCATATGCGCAGTAGTCAAGGTCTTATGTGCACGCGTAAAACGCTTGTGCACATGTGCCAACGCGGCGCATGCGCAGAAAGTTTCTAGCTTTGAGGTCCGGATTATAGATCATTCCGGATTCTGGGTGTCCGAATTAACGACTTTTGACTGTACTTTATTTTACAGATTCCCAGAGCCATTCCTAGCGGGGCATTAAAGTACGCGGGTGGCCAGGTTCTAGTGATACGATGCCTAAATATTTTAAATTCATTAAATTAATTGTAAGTACTTCTCCTATGCAAGTACTTTTTATACAATTTGTCATATGCAAGTACTTAGTGAGTATGAAATAAAGATTTTATTAATCATTGGGCATTTTTTGTTTTTTTAATTTGGGGGCGGCTATCTTAGGAAAGTACGTGGGCAGCTAAGAATGGGCCTGCAGATTTCACGAAACAAGTATTCCAAAATAATGAATATCTGAGACAATGGTTTTTAATGTTGAATGAAGCATTACAATTTCTGAAGGATTGGACAAAGCCAAAAAAAGGACTAAGATTCATCTCTATTTAAATATTTTAAATGCCAATTTCATGCATATGAAGTTTTTTCAACATGTCTTTCTACAGATGAGCAAATGACACCTTATTTTGGTAGACATATATACAAAATGCTTCTCAAAGGAAAACCCATCCATTTCGAATACAAAGTTTGGTGTTCCTATGAAGAGTACTTATATCATTTCAGAAAAATATTCAAAGACATTGACTGATCTTCGACTAAGCGTAACCGATCTTTCGTGTGAAGTGGAATTTTCTTCAAATCATTACGTATATTTCACCAATTTTTTTATGGAACACATGTTATCGTTGGAATTGAATGAGCTGAAATTTCATGCAGCTAGAGCAGTTCATAAGTACAGTTTAGGAAATGATCCTGTTATAACTGTAAAAAAAAATGAAAAAAAAGAAGAACATGGAACATATGACATTACATTTCATAAACAGCATGGCATTGTAGTAATTTGATGGAACAACTATAGCTATGACAACTACTTTGATATAAATTATCTGTCTTCAGTGAGCAAGAGGTATTCAAAAAAAGAAAGTAAGTCTGTATCCGTGAAGTAACCTAAACTCATTGGAAATTACAACAAATATACTGATGGCGTCGACATTCTGGACAATTTTATTGCAATGTATATAGAGTGCAAGTAAAAAGTAAGAAATGGTGGCAGCCGATTTTTACAAATTTTATTTATGTAGCTAAATCAAATGCATAGAACCTTTCCCAAAATTTCTCTTTTAAAATTTCAGAGAAGTATTACCATGGAACTGCTGGAAACAAAGGAAGAATACAGTCAACAGTCATAAATTCGGACACCCAGAATCCGGAATGATCTATAATCCGGACCTCAAAGCTAAAAACTTTCTGCGCATGCGCCGCGTGGGACATGCGCACAGGCGTTTTACGCGTGCGCGTAAGACCTTGACTACTGCGCATATGCGTGTGCGCAAGTGCAGAATACGTTTTTGCCTGCGCGTTTAATGTATAACGGACGGTGTAAGCTAAAATTATCTAATTATCTATTTCAGTTAATGTTAATGATTGCGTTGTTCCTTAATCTTCGAATTGGATCCGCTTATTATTTTTTGCAGACTGTAAGAGGAATTTTATAAAAGTAAATTTGAACTTTCGATTATGTCAAATAGAATTTCCGATGCTGGAATTTCCAAAGGATCTACAAAACGAAAGTATGCTTCGATGTCCAACAAACAAAAAGTGGAATTGCTGCAAAAAATGGATAAAGACATGAAGAATGTGACAGAGAGGTTAGTGAAAACGAAAAAAATTTACTGACAAGTTAGTCGGTATTCTCGACACAGCAATTAACGGGACTTGAACAGCAGAACTTTGTAACTGAACAAGAAATTATGTCTGTTTATAGAATTAAAGAGAAAGTATTATCACATAAAACGAAGCAACTTAAACAACTTACATTGAAAGAAATGTTTAATAAAGTAAACAAATAAATATTAAGCTTTTTTTTTTTTTTTTTTTGTAAATTTTGATACCCTTTAGATCATAATTGTTCTTTATTTCATAAATTACGGTTTTCAATATTTTAATTTTAGAATTTCTGCATGCCATCTTACGAGATTTAAACTAATGATCTATAATCCGGAAAAATCGATAATCCGGAATCGCCGAAGTCCCGACGAGTCCGGATTAACGACTTTTGACTGTATTCTGAAAATTCGCAGCCTTCATCTTCATATACTGATTGTGTTGACCAACCATCTTTCTTTCAGAATTTAGCCTCAAGCAAAACGAGAAAAATCCCAGAAATCACATCATTGAGAAAAATTCACCAAAAAAAACTAAAAGATGCAAATACTGTAGTAGTCAAATGATAATTGTTTGTAACAAATGTAATCTGCCTTTGTATAGCAAATGTTTCAAAGATTTCCATGTATCCAAAAATAATCAGTTTTGACTGATGCTCCGTTTTCATAACATTTTGTATCTTCAACAAAAATAAATATGTTTTTCTTCCTGTTAAATTTTTTTTAACTTAAGTAGACTCTAATATGTCAAAAAATTATCTTTCTTCATTTCAAGTGAAAGGTAGTGGATTTGTTAATGGGTTAACAACTGCACTACCTAACTCGGTCATAACGGTAAATATAATATCATAACAGCATTTCAGTATTAATAATAAATTAATTTCAAAATAATACAGCCTGCATGCTAATATTCTAAACACATTTGATTCTTCTTTAAATGTTTAAAAGTTTGTTTGTTTCTTGGTTTACAGTTACATTTACATTTTTGAAGACTTCAGGTGAGAAGCCCAAAAGATTAAAATGTCAAACACATTTAAAAATCGAAACACCGAAAGATTAAATGTTCAGTGAACTAAATCATCTTAAGACCTTCTAACGCAACAAATATACTTCATATAAAATTTCTTAAAACCTTTACTCACAGCCTTATATTTATCCTCATAATAAAAATGTACTTTTATAATCATTACTCACAGTATAGAATCAAGCTACAAGGAAAATTATTACATAAATAAGATTTGGTATAAGCAATTTATAGTGTCTTACCTGGTTAGTCATTGCTATAAATATACCAAGAAGAAAAACAAAACAATTCCAGTGGTAAATTCGAAGAATCTTTTCTGCTGAATAACTTAGAAACTGATAAGCCATATATCCCAAAAATGGAATAGTCACCATAAAATTATCACCATTAGTTTCAATAAAATCATGACGAGTGATTGCAGTAGGATCTATATGATGCTCACGAAATGGACGTATGAATGCCTGCATAAAAGAATGCACATTAAAGTGTAAAATAAAAAGTTTTTTTAAGTACATACTCAGTAACACATAAATACTTTTAAAATTTTTAAAGCTGCATAATGCTTTGTGCACATAAGATGATTTTCCAAATAAATATTAAATTATATACAAAAACCTTTTTAATGTTCTAAAAAGAGAAATTGTTAAAATATCGAACAGTAAAAATTTACTAGGTTAAAATAAAATTGATATTTAGATTCAAATATAAAGTAAAGAAAATATTTAAAAAGTAGAAAGGAATTTCTTCATTAAAAGCAATTCAGATGACAGCTTTTAAAAAAAAATGTTAAAATTAGAATAAAGGTTACATTCACAAAAAAAAAAAAAAAAAAAAAAGAGTTTCTTTGAAGCATTTTATACAAAAACAACACGAGAAAATTTTCTTTTCTTCTGACCTTTCAGAGATGTCTATCAAACATAACCAAAGCAACAGATATGTGAATTCCAATCTTTTGAAAGAAGTCTATCCATGAAACAAGGAGAATGCAACAGATATTTCTGCTCCGCTATCAACAATCATACTACTAAAAGAAATTTTTGACATTTGTAACCATAAACAAATTGCTGTGTCAGCTATATGTTTATGTATTTTTTATTTTTGAAACACAAGGATAAATGACCTAGGCAGTATCTGTTCTGGTCATTTTTCTTCATATACGTTTTAGTTTTTTTAGCATTACTTTTGATTAATGCCCCCCCCCAAAAAACAGAACATACATAATTTACATGAAAGCTATGCTTTTAAATTTTTTAGGCATTAAGTAACATGAAAGAAAATCTGTACTGCACATGCCTCAAAAACAAAATTTTTAACAGAACATGTGACAGGGTAAAACAGTGTTTTGGCCTTGAGGCAATAAGAAATGTTGCTTACTTTCAATATGTACTCATTCAAATATTTATAATTAATATAAGTTTAGTATTTAAAATTTGTTTAGTGTATAAAAGTGAGGATTTATCTACTAAAAAATTACCAGTAACTTTTCAATTTTACAATCAATAATTAATTTAAGGTAATTTTACATGAAAATAATTTTATTTCACTTTTAATTTTATTTTTCTTAACATGAAATAGACCCGAATATTCTTGTAAAAAAACACACACAGAGACAAATAATAATAATAATAATAATAATTTCACCATCAAATAAAAATGAAAATATTTTTCAGACTTTTTTCATTTTTAATTAATTACTCTAAACTATTATATGAATTAGTTAATAATTAATTTATTAATTATTTTAACAGACACTTATTTTCATTATTCCTAGGTTAATATACATTTTTTTTACTTATTTATTTAAAGTTTACTGTATTAATATGTTTCATACAATCAATCTACCATAGAAATATATCACTGCTGGCACCTCATTCAAAGATCAAAATATAATTTGTGTTCCTTTTTTCTAATACACTCATTTCATTCACTATATTTAATTTTAAATGCATTTTGTTCAGAATGGGTTTGAAGTGCAATGAAGATTAAGCAAACCTGTTTTAGTCTTATATTTAATAATGACAAAAATTATTCTGAATACACAGCATCATTGATTTTTATCTCATGCTTATTAATCATGGACAACTTGCATTCAGGATTTACCATATTTCTTTTTGTAAAAAATAATATACATGACATATTATGAAAAAAATTTTAAAAAAAGATATCTTGACTTCTACACGTAACACACAGTTACAGATGTCTCTGCATACAAGATCAATAAATAAGAAGCTCAATAATAAGAAGCCAGTAATCTTAGGATTAGCAGATCTCTAAGACTGAATCAAACAGCTCTGGATTTTATAATTACATCTAGTGCTATGTCTTTGATTGAAAGCATCCACTTGAGGAAATTACTCCATGAATTCTTGATAATGATTTTAATGAAGCAGATAATTGGCATAAAATCATATAATTTTTAAATCTCACTGAATAATTTCATTTTAATGCATCATTTACATTCTCACATTAAACCTGCTGCAGAATATATATAATCTGTTTTTCAATATTTAATTAATAAAGCTCCTGCATTAATTTCCTACCCCCCTTTCACACCAACATTTATTTGTCACATAGGTAGCAAGATTAAGTAACTTACATGTCAGAGACATTTTTAACACCTACATCAGTTTTTCATAAACAGTCTTAGACTAATTCTTGCAATGCTAAGCAACTGCTTAGCATTGCAAGAATTAGTCTAAGACAGTTTATGAAAACTGCTGTATTACTTTTTCATACTTCTTATTATGTTTCAAAAATAATGCAAAATAACTAACTGATAAAGATTAACATTAATAACATACTAAAAATATTTTTTATTGTTAGGAACATTATTATTAACTCAATAAATTACTATATAAAATATATTTTCAAAACATAGAACATATGTAAAAAAGTTATAATTACAAATTTTATTGCTTTAAAATTATGTAAATTCATACATGTTACTTAGGATAGTTAGGATTAGCAAATCTCTAAGATTGAATCAAACAGCTCTGGATTTTATAATTACATCTAGTGCTATGTCCTTGATTGAAAGCAGAAATTACTAATTTATAGAATTTATAACAATGTTTATTCATTGTTATAAATTCATGGAGTCATTTATGATACAGCTGATTTTTAATACATGCCTTCTCAAAGTCCTTTCTTATACCAAATACTTTATCTATCGAATTAATGCAATTTTTAGAAAAAATAGAAAAATATATGTCAACAAAAGCATATCAGGAATTCTACATATATTTTAAAAATTGTGTGATTTTTCTGTTGAACTGTATATAGCATAACAGTGTTGTTTAATAATAAAATGCAAAAGACCAAAAAAAAAAAAAAGAAATGTATTAGCAGGAGTGAGTCCAAAAGCAGACTGATAACCTGCAATACTCAGCAAGAGCATAAAAAACGTTAACAAGCCCTCTGGGAAAACATTAAAATCTGAACCCTTTCAGACTTTTATTTTGTTTTTCTCTTTATAATTTCATATTTATTTAAAAATGAATTAGAAAGAATAATTATTGCATTCATCTATGTTTTTTTTCATTAATTAACATCAGAATGGAGGATACTGAGAATGTATATGAAAGAATTTTTGAAAAACTGCATCCTGTACTAATGGGCTCCAATCAATTTTAAAAGGGATCCCATATCTGAAAAATGAAGTTCTACCTACATTTTTCATTTCTTAAATCTATAGCCATCTTACAGTAGTTTGCTATTAAAAACAAAAAGAATCATTTAGCACAGTCAGTCAAGAATCGTCGGCACTTCCGCGATTCCGGATTATAGATCATCAGTTTAAATCTGGTAAGATGGCATGCAGAAATTATAAAATTAAAAATATGAAACCGTAATTTATGAAATAAAGAGCAATTATGATCTAAAGGGTATTAAAAAAAAGCTTGATATTTATTTGTTTACTTTATTAAACATTTCTTTCAATGCGTGCATGCGTAAAGCATACATTACACATAGTCGAAATTAGAAAATTGCAACCAGAAAACTATTTGATGTGTATTCGTGATATTTTTAATGACCGGGAATTTGATTTAAATCATATCAAAGACAGAGTACATCGAGATGAAATACTACATTTAGTAAGGAATTATAAGCTGAATAAAATAAAAACATCTGCCTTGAAGATAAGAATAGTGCTGACAAATCAACTTCCAGTTCATTGCGCACCGCAACGTTTTCCCCCTGCAGAGCAGCGTGAAATTGATAAACAGATTTCGGAATGGTTAGAGAAACAAAGGATATGCCTTTATCCATTTTTTGCAGCAATTCTACTTTTTGTTTGATGGCCATCGAAACATGCTTTCGCTTTGTGGATCCTTTGGCAGCTCCAGAATCGGAAATTCTTTTTGACATAATCGAAAGTTCAAGCTTACTTTTATAAAATTGCTCTAACAGTCTGCAAAAAATAATAAGCCGGATCCAATTAGAAGATTAAGGAACAACGCAATATGCAACATTACTGAAATAGATAATTAGATAATTTTAGCTTAGCTTATACCGTCCGTTATACATTAAACGCGCATGCGTAAACGTATTGTGCGCACGCATAAAAGCATATGCACATGTGTAAAAGTATTATGTGCATACGTAAACACATTATGTGTTTATCCATTTTTGTAATGTTTGTGAGGTCCGGATTATAGATCATTCCGGATTATGGACATCTGGGTTAAAGACTTTTGACTGTATTTTGAAAAAAAAAATTGCAGTGCATAGAATGCATCTATTTAAAGGATATATATTGAAAAGTTTTTCCCAACAGATTTTTGATTACATATAATATCAGCTCTCAGTTAGTTTCCTGTGATACTTTTGTTTTCAACTTTCATGCTAATATAATAATTTTAAAAATATTACACTGCAATGAAAAATTACATGAAAATTTTCTGTTCAATGCTTACTGTACAATTGCCAAATAATTATAAAAATGAACTCACTTTTCCAATTATAGGCACATCAACTGAACCCCAGGTGTCAGCACCCCAATGTACTAAGCCACTTAAAAAATCAGCTAAGATTATACCACACACTGAAAAGGAAAAAAAAAGAAAGAAAGTTACTATTATATCACTATTTGACATGAAGAAATAAATTTTCAGGATATTTAAAAAATGGGAGTTTCTCTGCAAGGCAACAATTTACACTAAGTTATGTGGTAACTTTTGTTCTTGCAGGAGTTCTACCTATTGATTTTGAAACTGGGTAGAAGATTTACATTTTCAAGGCATTGGTAACTGAAACTTTGAAGACTGCATAAATGGAAATGACCCCCTTCCCCAATAATGCCTCATTCAGCTACTTCAGAGCCCATAAATATTGAAAAGTGTTTTAGTATGGTTTGCTTTATAGATGGCAGTAAAATGCATAATAAGGTTGGCCTAGCACTTGTTCCTTTTGAAGACCAGTCTGAGGTTTGCTATTTTAATCACTGCAATCGAAATGAAAGCAGTTTTTTAAGCAGAACTTTTTGGTATTTATCTTGTCAAGTTGGTCAAGGATAATGGGATAGCATTCTCAACCTACCTTATATGTTCTGATTCTCCTTCTTCTCTTCACCTTTTGAATAATATTACCAGCAGAGACAAACTAATAATCAAAACTCTCTTAGCTGTTAGTTCACTTTGAAATAGGGGAATTAATGTTCATTTTGCTTATGTGCATGGTCATCATAGATTCAATGGAAATGAAAGAGCTGATTTCTTAGCTAAAGCTGCTTTACCCATCAGTATCAATAATAGCATTCAGAAGAGATTTTTGATGTCCTTTTATTCCAAGAAGCTTTTATCTAAGTGGAATAAAGAATATATTTCATTTCATAGTGCTGGGAACAACAAAAAAATTCTTTATTATTATTATTATTATTATTTTACAATAGACTGCATTACAAGTCTTTCCTCTTTATTAAAGTACCTCAGTTTTTAACCGGTCACAGTAAATTTGCAAGTTATCTGCTTCGTTTCAATCTAAGACCTAACAATTTATGCAAATGTTCAAAATAAGTACCTCAAGATGTGGAACATTTAAATTTTATCCTTCCTACCTTTGATGGCTCTCAATTATGCTTACAAAACGAATTGAAAATTCTTGACGTGACTTGACCACTGAAATTATCTGTTTCTGTGAAGTCTACGCAGACTGCTGTTCTCTGTTTTTGTTCGTTTTATTTATGCACATAATAGTTAATGCTTCAATTTACTAATTTTTTTAAACCTCATGTTGTACATTTGTGGTGCATGGGAAATTGTACGTGATTTTTTTTTTTTTTTTTTTTTTTTTTTTTTTTTTTTTTTAGCCCAAAGGGGCTTTGTCCCTGAAGGACTATTGTTTTCGTTTTTTGCGATTTTGCGTCGGACTCATAAACGTCGGTTCACTTTTCAAACTGTTGCCACAAAATGTTAGAGTCCTGCATTATATTTGAAGAAATTAAATAATGAAAAATCTGCATAAATGATTGTCTATTTCTCGCATTGTGATAAAACAATGGTACATAGAGCCATCGAATTTTGAATGACGAAATCCTACTGCGAATATGGGCATCTGAAATCCCAAATTTGGAATTTGTTTTATTATAGATTTTATATTTTGTAAAACTTTAACGAATTTTTGATTTACAAACTCAATGCTTTAAAAGCGAGAAATGGCAGCGTTATATAGAAAAAAAAATACTTTTATCTCCAGCTCGCGAGACTGTGTATATCGGAAATTCTAAAGATATGCTTAATTTAACATTATTTTGCGATATTGCTCTTGAACTGAATTTTATGGTTTAAGTGCAAAGAACATGATATTTAATAAATAAAGGTAACACTCAAAACGTTAAAAAAACGCCCCTTTGGACGTAATTTAAAATCTGAAACATTTCAGATTTTTTTTTTTTTTTTTTTTTTTTTTTAAGCAACAGGAATTTTTTTCCGAAGGCTATATATTACTAAACATTTTTCTATTTCCAAATTTAAAAAGTTTAATTATTTTAAACATTCTATATTTTTCCTCTATATCTAAATTTTTATCTGTTATAGTTTACCTTCGCTGTAAATAAACAAATGAGAAAATGAACATGTAAAAGTACAATGAAAGATCCTTTTAGAAGGGCTCAAAGATGATTATACAGGGTGCGGCAGGGAAACTACCTTATTTTAAAAATGAATAACACAAATAGTATAAGCGATATCAGTTTAATTTTTTCCCAAGTTATAGAGAGACACTTAAAGGTGGTTTTTTTTTTTTTTTTTTTTTTTTTTTTTTTTTTTAAATTACGGTTTAAAAGTAATAATATTAAGGTGGCCTCCGTTCTGGTCAATGCATTGAGATAGTAGTTGTAAGTTTCTTTCCGCTTTTACCAGCATATCAACGGGTATGTTGTCGATAGCAACTTGAATATTGTTCTTCAGTTGAGCCAGGGTCTTTAGACGTTAGAGATTTCAGATAACCCCACAAAAAGAAATCACACAGGGCTAAATCAGGCGAGCGCACTGGCCACTGACAGTCACCTTGTAAGGAGATAAGGCGTCCAGGGAAATGTTCTCCAAAAAATCACGGTCTAGTGATGCCTATTCTGGACAATGCACACCAAACAGTCACTTGTTCTGTATGGAGGGGCTGCTCATGAAATTCTCGGAGATTTGTCCCACTCCATTATCGCATGTTTTGCTTCATGCTGCAACCGGAAAGATGAAAATGAGCCTCATCGCTAAAGAACACAAGGGCATCATGAGGTGTATTGTCAAGAACGGCTTTGCATGCATTTTTTTCGTGAAATAAAATCGCGTGGATTAAGTTTTTGCATTACTGCCAATTTATATGAATGAAAATGCAGTACTCTGAAAAGTAAAACTCCACAGAGAATGCGCACTCCTCTCTCGTCCACTGCATGATCGGAACTAAAACCTACATGACCTAAAAGTTCCAGTTCCAGTTCTGATGTTAAGCCGCGAGTAGCTTGCAAATTGCTCGCTTTGTTCCGGTTGTCGTCACATAAGTTGCTACTACAAGCGATGCAGTGAGTTGAATGCTCAGAGTGGGTCCGGAGGACAAACTAGGAGGCGGAAGGGGCATGACCAATAATCATGTGTGACGCGGAAAGCCATCGGGTTGGCTGTCCACGACGAAGTATTTAAAATAAACTTTTACATGCAAAATTAGTAACAAAATGGCATGTAATATCAGAAGAAGATTGTGGAAGCATGACATTGAAGATGGTGTAGATGTCTCATCAGGTCTCATCATTAAAAGCATTATGTACAGATAATAAAGACAGGTAACTTAATATGTACAGGTCTCGTGATCAGAAACATTTCAAAAGCTCCATGCTGGTACAGAGTTAATACATTGCAGTAACACATAAAATGGCATGAAAATAGTCTGGATATATAAAATAGAAGGAAAACCTATATACATATGTTCAAGAATTCTGCACCATGGGTAGCAGATACAGTTCGGAGGAGGTCACATGGGGTAGTCACCCTCTTAACTTCAGACCCTGGAGGATGCTGCTTGGAAAATGTAAACAGCACACTCAGTTAGTTGATGATGATCCGCACGGTATTAAGTTGGGAAATTGTGATTTTCATCATTCTGAGTGATAAAATAGGCAGCATAAGGGCGTAAAAATTTATCCTCATTGAGGATTTCGTAGTGGAATAAATTGAAGTGTTGCAAATATTCACAATCGATTGCACCAGCGGAAAAGTGCCTGTTCAGCCTGTGCAGGAAGTCCTTTATAGTATCCAATTTTAGATCATGATGTAAAAGTTTGTTAAGGACAAAGTAGTGTGCATTCATGATAATGCGTAAATACTTGTTTTGAATGATTTGTAATTTCTGGATATCCGAGTCTTTGGCAGCTGCCCAGGCTGGTGATGCGTAGCACATGATGGAGTGTATATTGAGGTATAAATGAGTTTCTTTTTGGTCAGATCGAGTTTAGAGTACTTCCCGATAATTGGGAAGAGACATTTCATGACTTTTAGAGCCTTATTTCGGATGCTGTTGATATGACTGGTCCAGGTTAGCTTTGAGTTAAGGATAATACCATGATATTTAGCTTCCTTCAAGATAGGGACTCTTTCATTAAATAGGATAAGGTCTTTTTTGATGGGACGGTTTTTCTTATGGCGTGGTATGATGAGAAGTTGCGATTTAGAGGCATTTATGGAGACTTTCCACATTTTGCACTAGTTCTCAATCATCGGAATGACACTTTGCAGTCGTTTAATTGCGTGGTTGACATTCGCTGACCTTCACTGTCAGGGCAGTGTCATCAGCGTAGCATGCTAATAAGGTGTTATTATGAAATTCCACATTAGGGAAGTCAGTCACATAGAATAAAAAAAAAATTGAGCCGGTGACACTTCCTTGAGGTACTCCAGCACTAATTGTGTGCATAGAAGAAAGAGCATCTCCACAATTTGCAAGAAACGTGCGGTAGGAGAGAAAGAAGAGGATCATGAGTATAAGTTCTCTTGGGAAAGTCAGGTTGATGAGCTTGGCAATGAGTCAGTCCTTCACGCCAGACGCGGTCGAAAGCTTTCGCCACATCTAGCATGAGGAGGGCAACATTTAAGTTAGAATGCAGGGCAGTACCCACAAATTCCGTAATTCTAAGCAGTTGTTTTGTCGTGAGTGTTACCCCACCCTTCTCTGAATAAATGTCGCTAGATGACGCGCGTTTCAAATAAGGAAGTTTCCCTGCCGCACCCTGTACAAAAAATATTTTAACTTTATTATAAATGAATAAGCAGTAGGGCAATTTAAAAACGTTTTATATAAAATATGAATAATTTTCTTTTGTGAATTATATTTTACTGTCAAGAGGTGCTATTATTATAATGCTTATGGTGCTATTATTATAATGCTTATGGTGCTATTATTATAATGCATATAAACTAAACATAACAATAATGTAATTACAGTAAATCTATGCAACCGAAATTTCATACATGCTGCAAATTAAATTACAAGTAGCAAAACTAAAATTACAAACTTCAAATATCTTGAAATTATTTTCCGTATTTAAATTAGCAACTTCTATCTGATTTTGATTTTTACAAGCAGCACTCATGTAACAATTATACAAAGTGTAGACTGAAAACCGCAAATCCTTGTATTTCAGTATTTGGGAATTCTCAAAAAAAAAACGAAAACAGGTTATACAGAAGTTCAACAGCAAATGATTCAAATGGAAGATTTTTAGCTACCAAAACACACAGAAATTCGAAATAATTTATCAGATTTTATTAGGAAATTAGGAGGACAAAATAAGGAATTCATATTTGAAAATTATAATGATGTAATTGATTAAACTGTTGAAATAATAAGACATTACAATGAAATTCGGTAATTATATATTAACGCAACCACTTTGGCGAAATGTGGCGATTTTTTACCAATGAAAAGTAAAAGTTACTTATCGCGTGCAATTTGATCATGTTCGCGAATTCGTTTGAAAAAGATGAATTTATCCATTTATCTATCCCAAGTCAGCAAACATAATCAACATATCAAAAGAAAACATTTACTTTAGGAAATTTAAAATACAAATTTTAATCCTTATATAGAGATTGCTTAATCCATTTAAAAAAATAATAAAATAAAATAAAACACTTTTTTTTCCTATAATGTTTTGCTCGGTTCTTCTACCCGTATACACAGCGATCTGTTTTCGCTTTAAAAAAGAAATCTGAGAACTGCACAAACATGGCATTGCGCACATCTTCGGCGTTGCTCATAGGTATCATCCCAGACTACTTACACCTTACAATAAGTTAGCGCTTCTTATAGCCGGTGCACAAAGGTTTAGTACACCATATAAGATGTGATTAGCAGTTAGTCTGAAAATTAAGAGATATTTGCATGATAAATATTTTTGAGATGCCAGTTTCTGTATTACAACTCCGTGCAACAAAATCTCTCCATGGAGATAACAGGAAATGTGAAATTCATTGCTTAATCCAAGTAAATGAGATTAGGTCAAAATATAGAATTCAAAGTAAATATGGATCTGATCTCAGCCGACTGAAAGAAAGCAGTTATAAATGCCACTAAAGTGAAGGACAACATGGCTACTGAAGCTGACTCTATTTTGTTGTTATAATAATAAAAATATAGAAATTACAGCTATGAGACTGGCTTTTTGATGAAGAAACATAATAAATCCCAAACCCAAAGCAAATTAAGATTTATCAGAATATGTTTTGGCTCTATATCATAACTTATTTATCAGAACTTTCGTCTTAGAATTTTTAATCACTGAATATATACTACTCTTAGAAAAATGCTCTATTATAAAGGTCCTGCAATAGAAAATCAACCAGTTTTCATCACAAATGACTTTCTAATCGCCTTGGATTTTACTGTGACTGGATGCTTAAAATCACATGACATGGCAAGTAGTTAGTTATTCACTAGATTTTATGAGGCCATTTTAAACTTGGAAGTTCTGCTTAGAAGATTCCATTAGAAGGAAATTTATCTTTCTCTTCACTACCCCACACAGGGAACCATTTCCTTGCTTTTTAACATCATGGACTTCCAACAGATAAACTTAATAATCATACAACATAATGACATGTATCATACTTAATGATCTTACAAGATAATGACTTGTATCATACTTAATGATCATACAAGATAATGACTTGTATAATATTTGAATACAGTCTGTATTAAAGCAAAAAGCAAGGGGAGTAAGCAAATAGTTAAGCTCTTCTTACCCTTTAGAGATTGTAATTTTAGTGCGAATTTCGACATTGACTATTTTCAATATAAATTTTCCAGTGTTTTTGCCATTAGTTTTCCTACATTTTGAGAATGAATTTACAGAATCCGTTTCTCTCAAACGCAAGCTTTTAGTGATAACTTCAAAGACAGGTGAACAGGTCACAGCAGGTTCGGACACCACAGCGCCTTACATAGCCTGATCGGGTGTTGTCTAGATCCCATAACTGCTCACAGCAGCATTCCCCGGTGCTCCATAAGGGCCACATCGGGTGTTTACTGAATTTGCATTCTACACACGGGAACACACACACTTTTGTTAGCAGCATAGAAAATAGTTGAAATTAGTGCTTATTAAATTCAGATGGAACACCTAATACATATAACACATTAATTCCAATAAAAACAAATTACACATAATACAATACAGATTATACGAAATAACATTAATTATACAAATTAACCGCAATGCCCATTATACACACATTATTCTTATGTAAGGAATTGTAATTCTTATGGTACACTTTTGCGATGCTGTGTATAGTAAGCAATTCGTAAAATACACTTTTGATGCACAGTGTACACAATGCACATTAATCTGAGGAACTAAACATTTTGTGCTTTACCTATTACACATTTATCAGGGACAGTGATTCTTAAAATACATCTTTGCAGTACTACCCATGATGTTTATACATAAAACTTCAGAGACAGAAGAATTACGTCTGACTGATTACTTTACTTCGAATGCAGTTCGTTTGACTTCAATTTCCAGGAACTAAAAATGGCCAGTTAAATGAAGTTCTCCTGCTTTGGTTAATTCACATGTAACCTTATCACAAGATATTTTCTCTTGAGAAATTCTTCACGATACCTATCCTTCTCAGGTAGATAACCCTAGAATAATTTGGTGTATTAAATAACCTAACCTTCTATTTTTCGGTGACTGTAATAAAGGAGTCAAACTTTGTCGCTATTGAGTCAAACTTCAATTAAAATGGTTCTTCTTACTACCGAGTTGCCTATTTAAGATACCAAACAAAAGTCCTGTGAAAATAACAATGCTTAAATTATCAGCTTACTTGGATAAATTTACTTCTCTTATTACTGAAGAAAGAACAATTTATTGCAAATCATATCTGTTCTTCCGCTTCTGTAGAAGAAAAGTTTCTTTATGAAAGGTATTTATCAGCATTAAATTTTATGAGCTCATTTTATATCCAATTTTGAATTCTTCCACCATCCAGTTTTAAAAGCTGGATTCTCCCATTCATTTCTGAAAAACAAAAAGCTCAACAATTTGACATAGAGCAAAGAGTTATTCCTTAGTCAACTGCTTTAATAACTACGTGTATTGATGTTCATGCTTCATTCATAATTAATCTAAAAGATGAAGATAATAAATAAATAATACTCACAGGCAGATATGAGAATGGAGTTCCACTGACTAGGCTGAAAGAAGTATACAAGATGGGCAAAATTGATTGCCATCAGAGCAAGGCACAGAAACACGGATATTATTTCCTGAATTCTCTTCCCTAGGGAGAGGAAAATAATTAATGTATTATTTGATAAAACAAAGCAAAGGAAAAAGTACAAAAGTATTTTCGCTATAAAGAGTATAACTTTAGCATTACATCCTTAATGCTTTCATGAATACAGCAAGTCTCCTTGTGCTTAAATTTAAAAAGCCATAGTGAAGAATGATTCCTCGTGATTTCTGAGGAAATTTATTATCGATATGTTTAATTTTTTTTATTCAAATTTACACGTGCTCATAAAATGTACATTAGAAAATATATTGGAGCCTCCATTGGTGGACATACCACCTTCTAGAACTTTTCCTGAATTCGCGGACTCTTGAAGCAAGATATTGATACTTTCTTAGTTCACGGACATTTCCTGATAACGAACAAAACCTTGATCCCATTAGTGTCCATAAACAGGATATTAGATCAAGGCCAGGACAAAGGTGAGGCAAGTGAGGCATTTCCTCACCTAAATTGGAAAATCAGGAACAGCACCAAATCGATGAAAGATAAGGTTTGGTTTCGTTTAGCTGATTATGGCAAAGCACAAAATAGCTATCTGTCTAAGGGGGGAGAGATGCCTTCGTGGAGGACTTTCTAAGGGAACTGGCTTGTATACACGTAACACTTACAGAAAACCACTGATGAAAGATAAGAAATTAATTTAAAAGGGAAAGAAACTATGTTAAACATTAACCATTGAAATATAAATTAATTAATTTATTACATTATTAGTCTTTATAAATATTTTTTAAACAGCGTTAAAAATAGCCTAATTAAATTAACAGCAGTCTAATTAATAACATTAATTCCTTCTTATAACTGCTACGACTTATTTTTATAGTACTGTAAAAAGGGCTTCCCCTTAGTCCTTTACGCATCATAAATTCTTGACTGAAATGCTTCAGTGATGCAGAAGAGGGTCTAGTAGCAGAAAAGCACACAAAGGTGCTGTTCATTCTGAAAATTCATGGTGTTTCCAGTTGGAAATACAAGAAGTTAGAAGGGAATTAGGCTAAAACTTTCATATCTAAAGCATTCTCGGTTTGATTGTAAGCCCCCATAAAAGTGACTTCTGATTTTTCAAAATATTATCACACATTTTAAATGCATTAAACTGAGAGTCTAAAAAATGAGTTTTTATAAGCTTCAATTTATCCAGCATTCTTTTTAACACTAAACATTAAAAAAAAAAAAAATACTGAGCTTAAAAATTAATTTCCTCCCTTTTAAGATAGAAAAACATGATGCAAATGTGACTGGACTCGTATTAACTATGAGATAAAAATCAAAACAGTCTTCCAAAAATATGAATAATATTATGTTGGATTCTTAATAGTTTTCAAAAACATGACTTAATCTTTTTGTCACGAAATCAACTACCCCCACCTCATAATTTTTAGTCTCTATTTTTCCCCCACTCATTTTGCATTACTAATTTTAATTACTATTTTAAAGAATTATTTTCCAAGAATTTCCGGTTTCATTTCTAGCCATATATATTCAAAGGGCTGAAATTTAAACATTGTGGAAGGACTCTGAAATTTTAAGAATCCAGACATCAATAGCAACATACTCAGAAATCTTAAAACTTTTCGAATTATTTTTCAAGTTAGGTTTCTGTGTTGATGATTTCAAACTCATTTTAAAATATCAACACCTATTGAAAGCGCATTAACATTTCTCGTCAGGAAAGATTAATTATATGCTCAAAAAAGAGAAACAAAGGAATTTTTGATAGCTAATTACATTTGGACATTTGCCCATAATTTTCACAGTGGATCAGCAAACATTGCCGACAAAGCTTCTTCAATTAGTAAACTGCATTTCTTTTGGGGCTGTAGAGTCATGGAGTCGGAATTGGAGTTAGGCAGATTTTGGGGTAAAAGAAGTCGGAGCTGGAATCGATAAAAACACGTCGACTCTGACTCCAGTTTTTGTTGGACAGTTTGAATTTGAAATGAAATTAAAGCGAATTGAAAAAAACAGGCTGTTGGTTAAACGTGCAGTCGACTAAATGTCCTGTTGGTTAACTGTCCATGTCAGCTAAATGTTAATGTCGGATAAATGTCCGTATCGGCTAAATATCCGTCTCAGCTAAAGGTCTACGACTGGTTTTACGAATCCGGAAGAACGTACACATGCATTCACGTACGGACTGGAAATGGCAAGAAAGCCAGCGTCCCTTCAGCAAGCTGCAACGCAGCCAGATTTTCCTACACATAACTAATTTACTGATAAATGCATGTCGGAAAATTTTTAGTTCTTATGTGTGGGTAATAAGCAATCCACATGCCACATTCACAGAGGCGTTCATCAATGAATATTTGGCTAGAATCGTTCATGACTTTTTGACTGGTCCATATGCGTAGCCAAGCTCACTGGATGGGAGAACGCACATAGTATTTTAACAAAAAACCTTGCTAGAATTACTAAACCAGTTTTAGCAAACATTAACACACGCATGTGGTCCTAACACGACGAAGCGCCACTCATTTTAGCCTGAATGTGAGGAACGCCTTGGATGCAACAATTCCAAAACAATGGTTTCATCGAAGTGATCTGAACAGCCCCATGACAGCCCCATCAATTCCAGTAAGGATCTTGAGTCTTTGTTTGAGGAGTGTTTGATGTTTTTGTCTATGTATGATGATGACTACGACAAAGGATAAAGCTTGCATTATTCTTGGAGGACGCCCTTTTGAATAATTTCTGCAATTTGCTGATTAAAATGTGTTCTGTAATTTGTCCAAATTTTACACTCCTTAGTCAGTCTTATGTCTGATACCCCTATCGTTTCACCGTTTGAGTTACGCCTCTGCATTATACTGCGGAAGGCTTTTGTTCAAATATCCTTTAAAGTTTTACCCAAGAATTTTGAATCATCTTACATTATGTTTTATTCCACAAAACATCTCGGATACTTGTCAAAATAGTCTTTCATTTTGAATTACCAAGCTTTGAATAATATTTTATTACGTCAATGTCTTTAAATGTTTTAAATCAATTATTTCAAAAACTTTTCTAATAGATTTTTCTTTTTCCAGTTGCAAATTAAAAAAAAAAAAAAAAAAAAAAAAAAAAAAATACGGATTTCTAATCACTTATGCTTTCTTGTAAAAGGCATGATAATTAAAGTTGAAATATTGCATATTTGTTATTTTGACACAGTTTTCCGAAATGGTCTGCTACTTTTTCCACTTCTTTTTGGAAAGTGAAAAATTAGGTGAGTTTAATGAGATCAAACCAGTGCTTCACTGAATTGCTTTCTAGGTGTTTAGGAACTTTGACGAGTGATGTATGGATGATAGGTTACTGTTCAAATTTTGCATCTGTTATTTCAGTATCTTTACACAGTGCAATATTCCTAATAAAAAGAATGCGCCTCTCTAATATGAGGTGTGCATATGAGTACTGAGAGGAGACTCTGGAAAAATCTGTTTAGCGAGCTATAAGTTCGGAATACAAAGGGTTACATTCAATGAAGGTATAATACATGAAGATGCCCTCCGCTCAGTGAAGCCAGATGGGGGAAAGCAAGCCTTTAGTGGTCAACGCTATTTTCTTGATTGCATTCTATCAGCAGGATCTCGGGTTCGTTTCTGGATTTTATACAGTCTGACTCCAACCAGATACTGATGATATGTATGTATGCTTGTTCGCACAAGCACACATACATTACAGAAAGCATAGCAAAATACAAAATCAAAATTTAGAACATTAAAAAGTGAGTTGCAATCCATCAGAATCTCGGAGATAAGAAGTTCGAACACACATGCAAAAGAAAGGAGTCAAAAGAAAAGAAAAGAAAAAGAGCACTGTAGATGGGGGGATACAAATGAACAAGCTAAAAATTAAAAATATTGTGTGTATCTATCGACATATATATGTATTCATTTTTACTTCCTTGTTCGAAGTGAAAAGGAAGTATTGTAATCGCGAAAAGCTTCAGGCAGCATATTTCAACGAAAATATCCACGTTGACCGCTTTCGAATGCAATTTAACGATGTTTTTGCGTGATACCTGTATCAGTATCAGTATCAGTAGCGGGCGCAGCCCGACCCGCCTAACCAAACAAGTTGGTCATATGGTCATGACAGGCCATGCCCATTTCAACAAATGAAAAATATTAAAAAATAATATCTAAATGAGAATAATCATGTGTAAATAATAATTATAAGCATAAAAGTGAAGAAAAGAAACAAATACAAACATTTAGAGAAGAGCAGACACTAAAGACAAAAACAAAAAAAGCGAATAACAAACACAAACAATGGTAACAACAAATTATTAAAATATACCAATTAGTGATGGCAATAAAATGCAAATATCATACACTGATTCCCACTGCCCGGCGCTCACCGTCAATAAATTTCATCACAGATTTACATAATTGAGCGAAATCTTTATAGCATAAAAAGGGATTTTCAAAATCAATATTTTTATTGTTTCTTAAGCCATCAAAGTAGGGACAGACCTCGAGGAAATGCTTAGCATCACCAAACAGATCGCATAGTTTACATTTATCGTCGTTCTGTATCTTAAACCTAGCGAAGTATCCCGGGAAACGCCCATGTCCAGTCAGAAACTGGTTAACTTCAAAATCATTTAAGATAATTTTTTTTTTTTTCCTAATCAGTTCTAAATGTTTCAAATAGCGACTTTTCCTTTCAGAAGAATTCCATTGTAACTGCCATTGCTTAAAATAAAACGAATAAATAACTTTAGTTTTTTTTTTTTTTTTTTTTTTTTTATTAAACCCTGAACATAAGGCGTCCCCGAAACACTGCCTATGGCAGCCTCTTTTGCGAGCACATCCGCTCTCTCATTACCGTATATTCCGATATGGGCTTTAACCCAACCAAACTTAATATTAAAGGATAAGGATAGTTTTTTGGAAAAGATCTTTAATATCGATAATCAAACCATTATTATTTCCTGCAGTATAAAGTGCATTTAAACAAGACATGCAATCTGTAAAAATATAGAAGTTAGAATTTCTTG